GGCGGCAGCAGCTGCAGAGCCAAAAGGGCAACCCGGTGCTTAATGGCAGCGATGGTCAAGTCTTCATGCACATTGGGGGAGCTTTGTGGCCACCAGCCCCAGGGCTGGGGACCTGGTGTCCCCTTGGTGGTGCCTGTGCCCGACCTGCCCTCACTTGTTGCAGGCAGCCGCTCTCCATTCCCTGCACTGCAGACGGTGCGGGCCGTGTGTCCTCATGGCAAGGAAGTGGCTGCTTGCCCCCGGGCCGGTTTCAGTGCCTGTGAAGGGAGTTGCTTTGGCCTCTGCCCAGTTTCTCTCCGCTGGCCGCAGCTTTCCCGCGGCGTGAGAGCAGGAAGGAGCTGCGAGCTCTGCTGGCCACATTCCCACCGCCCCTGCTCCCGTCGCCTCCGGCCGTCTCCCAGTGCTGCCACCTTCAGGGACTGGCCCCGGCCACCGGGTGCCCATGTCCTCGCGCAGGGCCTGTCACCCGGATGGGAGCCGAGCAAGCAGGACCACGGAGACCCACGGGACCCAAATCCCCAAGCAGGGACTTGCTTGGAGCATGCACGGGCAGAGCCGTGTCCCTGCTTTGCCCAGGGGTGCCGGTATCGCTGTGATTGTTGTCCCTAAACTCCTCTAATCCCACGGGGCAACCTCAGCCCTGCAGACAAAACCCTTGCAGCCCTGGGAAACTGAGGCCGCCTCGTCGGACGGCTCCGCTCCACCCGCCTCGTGGTCTGGGCAGCTCCGAGGCTCCGCACCAACGTGTCCTCCTTCCGTAGGCTGCTGGAGAGGAGCCCACATCACCGGCCAGCCGAGCAGCCTCCCACGCGCGCGGCCCTGGTAGTCGCACCCGGGCAGGCGTGGAGCAGGTGACCTCGCGGGGACAGGAGCCACAATGTTTATGGCTCTAGATCCGCATCTAGAGCAGCCCCAAGGGCCCAGCAAGCAGGGCCAGCAATGGGGAGCCCTGCCTGCCTGCACCGGGGAGCCCGCGCTGTCACTTATCAAGGGCTTCGGGGGCCGTTTGCAATGGGTGAGATGTCCCACTTGTCACTCCACGAGGCATGGAAAGACGGTCCTTGGTGCTGCCACTGAATGAGTGAAATAACCTAAGGAGTTCCCCTTTCTCTCCCTGGAGAGCAGCCCCGCAGCCCTGCGGCCCCCGCAGCCGCTCATGAGTCACCGTGGCCCCGGCGCAGCCACTTCTGCTAACGCATCGTGTCCCGGTCACAAGACCGAGAGGAATGGGGAGAAGCCGCGTGTCAACTGACAGCGGGACCCGGGCGCTGCTGCGCGGCCCTGTTCTCCATCCTGGCTCCCCTTGGCACTGCCAGCCCAGGGAGGGCTGGGGAGGCCACACGGTTCCCAATGTCCATCCACGTGCACAAGGAAGGAGCTCTGGGCATCCCTTCTCCCTGCATCCCTGGTAGGAGGAACATCCAGCCCCAGAGCGGAGCTGGAAGCTCGTCCTGCTCTGTTCGCCTGCTCGAGGTGAGGATTTTTTGCTCCCTTTGGGCAAACCAGACACCTGTGCCCGTTGTGCCAAACTGTACCTCGCCCCCAATATGCCATCCCCATGCCAGCTGGGAGCACCCCACTCTCTTGGGCTGGAGGCCACCTGCTCTCCATGGGCACTAGCCCCTATTAGTAACCTCAGCAGTGTCCAGCCAGGGATTTCGGTGCTCGCTCCAGTGCTTTGTGCAAGCAAGGCCTCAGCACCAACCTGGCAGCAAGGGGTGGGGGGCTTATGGATACATCCCATATTCCCAGATGGCGGAATTAGGAGCAGGGACAGCGCATGGAGCAGGTGGCCGGGGGATCTCAAGGTACGAGGCGTAGTTAAACACGCAGAGCGTGTTCATGCCCCCACTGATCCGCTGCCTGCCGCCCACGACGAAGTCACCACCTCCACAGGCAGAACCTCGTGCTGGCCCGTGCCGCGCGGAGCCGATCCGAGCCCAGGGCCTCCTGGCAGCGCTCAATGCCGGGCTCCTGGAGCACGTAGGGTGAGCAGAGCCGGGCCAGTGCCTGCTTGCTCCGCTGCGCTAATTACCCAGACGAGTCTCGCTGCAGCCTGCCAAGGGAGCTGAGCGAAACCCGCCGCTACGGAGCGTGCAGCAGCTCCCGCG